AAAAAAAAAAAAGCAAATAGAAGGCCTGAGCTATGGTTAAGATGAGAATAGCCAACACTGAACCAAGCTTGCCAAATTGCCCAGAAGATCCAAAGAACCAAAACTGGATCATCTCCGGTATTTACAACTCTGATTGTTTTGTTATTGTTTTTTTTTTTTCCACTTTGCCACAATTGCAAACATTTGGACACACTTGAACAAAGTATTACTGCTAAAACTAATTCCTCCAAGAAATAAATAGAAGAGAAGAAAAAGCTGTGCTGCAAACGAGATTGATTAAAGTGATCAATTGGAGGGGACGTGGTAATATTTTCCTTTACAGATGCAGCGGTAGATGACGGGACACGACTCGACCGAGCATTTGGTGAAACTGACGATGACCCTGTGGCAAGGGGTGCATGCCCCACATGCATGTGAACAATCTGGGAGGCTCGAACCCGTTAGATATGCCTCCAACTCCATTCCTCTCTCACCCTGCTCATCACACAACTACATTACTCTTCAACAAATCACGCTTTTCATATATAATCTTGTTTTCCTAGTTTTTATTCTTAATGAACAAGGAGTTTGTCTCAATTTAATTATCATTTAATTCTCATGTACCTTTTGCTGCATCTGGCTTTCCTCAACCTTGTAAGCACCTTTCCCATGCTGGCTAACTGGAAAAAAAAAAAAAAAAAAAAAATGGACAAGAAAAGCACTATTTTATTTGAGTTTTAATGCTTTCAAGTTAAAAAAACAACAGAGAAGTTGAGGATAAGTATATAATAAACAGGAAATTCTACGGTCCCGTTACGGAATAATTAGATTATCATTTAACCGTCAGGGATAATTAATCTAACGGTTACAAACCCCGACGGAGTGGTTTCGTAAGGGACCATAGCATCTCCCGTAATAAACGGAGGGACAGAGAAGAAATGGGTGATGCTTATACTTACATTGATAATTAGGCCAAAGGGCCTCACTAGTTGTGAGTAGCAAGAAAATAATAAGGGAGACAAAGGAGAATGTGTTATTTGTTGTGCTCATTTTCTTTGAAAAAAATCAAAGGGTTTTGAAGTTGTTGGTGATGAGGGCATATTGAGACATTGGGAAAGGTTTATAACATAGCTGTGGGGAGGAAAGAATTTAATAACATTGTGGTACATCTGATGGACTTCACATGAAACACGGGCTGCCTGAACACAGAGTCACGAGTTTTGTTCAGTCCCATAAAACTAGTTTCGAAAGAGGAGAAAGCATCACAGAGAGAACAACTTCCATTTATTGTCTTGTTCCCTTCATTTCTGTTTAAAGTTTCATAGGTCCCAAATTGCAATTTCAAAGTTTTGAATTTCCGCTCATCATTTAACTTACAATATTGTGTTGTGTTTCTCATCCATCAAACTCATGTATAAAGTAGGCAAATATTTTTATATGCATGAACAAACAAAGTAAGAAGCACTAGTTAAGATTATATTCCACAACACAAAGCTCTTGGCAATTGTACATACATAACATATAACTTACCACATATATAAGAATACATATATGAAAATAGAAAAAAATAAAAATAAAATAAAATAAAAGAAGCATAAACGAATCATGCAGCCAATTGAATGTCCTCAAGATCTATCTGTGTTGCAATCTCCTCAAGTTGCTTCTTGACGCTCAAATCAATCAACTTAGAACCCGAGCCTCCATAGCGGATGGTGAAGCCGGCCACCAGCGACGGGTCTATCCGCGTCTTAAGGCGCACGTTCTTGGCCCCCGTCAGCTTCTGCACCTCCTTTGCTATCTGCGCCAGGTGCTGGGCCTCCAGCTGCACCACCGAAGTCACCACCGCAACTTGGGTATCAGTCAATTGGTTGTACATTGCCTCGAACTCCTTGGCAATCTCCCCAATCTGCTCGATCCGCTTCATGTCCAGCAGAATGTTGAGGAAATTCGATACATACGGCTGCAGCCCACACGACTCCGATATCTTGTCAACGATCTCGCGCTTCTCATCCTCGCCGATGGTCGGGTTGGTGAAGAAGCCCAGCACCGCCTCGTCGGAGAATATCTCCACCACCTTCTCCAGCTCGGCTGCGGTCTGCTCGAGGGTGCCGTTCGATTGGGCGACGTCCGCGAGAGCGTTCGCATAGCTACCGGCGGCGCTATTGGCCATGCTCGCGCAGAGAGCGCCTCCGCCGCGACGGCGGCTGACTGCGAGGCGGGGGAGGCTCAGGCCGGAGAAGAGGGACAGCTTGGATACGGCGTTGGGCCGGATCCAGGCCGACGGCGGCGAACGGGAGCGGAACGTGATTGGGGTTTGTTGTAAAACGGCGGACATTGTTGCTCCTCTACTGTTGCCTGTAGGTAGGTGGTGTCGAGATTGAAGAATTTTGAATGTGTGGATTGTGGAAAGCGGCTTTTTGGGTGGATAGCCAACGGCTGGGATTGGAGGAAACGAAGTAGCGGACGGTGGAGATTATAGGCAACCCCATCAAAGTGATTGTGGACAAGGATGGCGTCTTATCTACTGGGAGATAAGGAGTTGACACGCGGCGGTCTTCCGTTAGAGCAGTCTACAATCCTCTACAACCCCTCATCATTTTATTAATAAAAAAGTTTAAAATTTTTTTATTTCTAAAAGTTTGCTAGGGTAATTAAAGTTTGCTAGGGTAATGGTTTATGTATTCAACTAGTTTTTATTTGGTTTGTTTTTTAATTATAGTTAATTTTGAAAAAAAGTAGTACGGTTAGTTGTTAGTGTAATATTAAAATAATATTTTAATATAATAATTAAAGTTGATTTGATGTAAAGTATGAGAAAAATGATTGGAAGTGATGGTTATTTAAAATTATGTGAGTGGATGAATAGTGAATTAAAGTTAATGATGTGTAACAATGATTGGTTGATATTATTTAATTATATTGATAATGTAAGAGATAGTGAATTGAGTTAAATTTGAATTTTGATTGGTTTTTTACTGTATAAATCATAAACAATCGCCCCCTTAGTGCCCTCTTTTCTTAGACCATTTTTCTCTTGATATTATTCTAAAAAAACACAAAAAAATATAAATTCTCTAAAAGCAAACGATATTCGACGATTTGTGAAATATATATATATATATATATACTCTCCAAAAATTAGAAACTTGTTCTCTCTCTAAAAATTAAGATACTCTCCAACTCAGATACCATTTTCCGGCATTCAATTTTTTTCTCTTATGTGCCTTCCTCAGCGAAGCGCTGAGTTCGCGACGGCGGCCGGCCTCGCCATCACGGCTGAGCCTCGATTTAGGGCTGTTTTTTGTCTCTTCGGCATGGGATGCGAAGGGCAATCCAGGCGGATTCGGCGTAGATCTGGCTGCCGTACAGGAGTATTGTGCCTTTGGTGTTGCATCGCGGTCCGACAATGGTGCTTCTGGAGGAGTGGTCGTGACTCTGATCACTAATCATGGTAATGGGAGTGGAGGTTTATTTCTTTTTATCTCTTGCGCCACTTTTACCTGATGTTTGGGTTACAGAGGTGGTTAGCGTCCTCTCTTCCTGGTCGTGGTGTGGGCAGGCTTTGGACGGCAGTGGTGTGGGGGGAGTTGTGTCGGATTTCTTCGGGCTTCAATGTCGGGGTTGGGGCCGTCCACCTGTGTGTTGGGCCGAGTTTTCGGATTGTGGTTAAAATTAAGCGTTATTGCCAGTTTTTGGAGTGGCAGCTCGGAGCTAAGTTTGGTCGTTGGGGTGGTCGGCTACCGTCTGGTGACTTTTGGCGTGTGTGATGGTTGTGGGTAGGGCATGGTTCTAGTCCGAGTCGGCCTTAGTTTGTGTTATGGTTGTTCTGTTTTGTTTGTGGGGTGTTTTGTTTTGATTGTGTTTACGTTTTTTCTCTCCCGTTGGAAGTGTGTTTGGTGTATTCTCCGGTTGAAAGTTTTTTTTTCTTCTTTGGGGAGTTTTTTGCTGTTTTGTGATGTTAGTTGACTCTAGACTGCCGTCTCGGTACGTGTAGTCCTCCCTGCTAGAGTCATCTGTTCATCTTGCTTTACTCGGCTGAGTAGTTGTTCTCTAGTTTTGTTTGTGTTGTGAATATATATGATCCATATCATTTCGAAAAAAAAGAACGATATTCAACGAAAATATATTTGACAACTAGGTACAAATTTTGTCGGCCGGCTGGCCGACGAAACCAGTCGGACCGCCGTAGGCCGACATTACGGCCGCTCGCAGTGTGGGTCGGCTGGCTGACTGGGCCGACCATGACCATGCTCGGTCAGCCACTACCGCAGGCAGCTGCAATCGTCGGCCGACCGGTTTTTTTTTGGGAGTTAGTTAATAACTTCCGTTGATTAATTTAAGTTTTGACAATTCATCTAATCAGCTTCTTGAATTTGAAACTGTACCACTCAATTCTTTATTATTATGTCGAAAATTAATTCGTCGGTTGGGCTTGGCATAATAATTCTTCTTGAGCTCATTTCAGGAACGTTATCAACTCGTCTCCGGGACATGGTGGCCGTAAATAATTTCAACGGCGCATCATGTAACCGACCTCACTTACAAAAATATCGAGTATGTTAACTTATCAAAATAGGTCTAACCCATGACAAATCAAATAAGTAAGTGTCCACTACATATGCTCATTTATTGTCTTACGGGTACAGAGTAGACATGTCAAAACGGGCTAGCGGAGCAGGCCAACCTGCAGCCCGCTGAAAACCTGCCGTTTGGTGGGGCGGGGCGGGCCGACCCACCATCCTGGCGGGTCTTGAAATGCCAGCCTGGCCCACCCCCGCCACAGGCCGCGGGCTAGGCGGGATGGCCCGTCCAAGAATAAAAGACAGAAAGAACATGATAAAATTGAGGGATTACGAGGATGAGAGGGGGTTTGTGGAGAAGGAGAGCATGCGGATGGAAAAAACGAGCAGATTATGGACACAGAGGAGATGAGCGAACCGGCGGACTTATGAGACAAGAACAATTTTCTGGGGTTTTGCATTCTAGAAAATTTTTTGTGGGTGTTATGTGCTATGAGAAAGGATTTGTGTGTGTGATCTTGAATTCAATGAAGAAAGAAAGAAAGAAAGAACAAAAAAAATAAAAGAACTGGCGACGCGAAGAAAATGTCAAAATGAAGAGCAGAAGAGAGAGAAAGACAGAGAGAAGTGACATTGCGTGTGAAATTGAGAGGGTTCGATTGTGTCTCGACTCTTGTGTGTATTTAATCTAACTAGTAGGGTGCCCGTGCAATGCACGAGAATATTTATTACCTATTTATTGTTTAAAAGGTATTTTTGTATTTAAATTGTCTCATGGCATTAAAAATATCATGAAAAATAATTTTATATGTTACTAAACACTTCCTTATATACAAAATTATTGATTTGATTCTTTGGCATGCAAAGTACTACATAGATGTTTGAATTTTATCTAAAATTGAATATTATTAGTTATTAATTAATAAATTTTTTTTAAAAAAAATAAAGGATCTTATTTATTAAACAAAATTATAGTAGAAAAAAAAAGGTAAAAAGTTTTAGGAATTTTCACCCATTATTTATTTAAATCTAATTCTAAATTTCAATTAAGAAGAATTGAAAGAATCATTAGTTACTCCTAAAAATAAAACCAATTTTTCTACCAACAAACTGATTTTTTTATCAAACAAATTGATCCGAATATTTTTTTTTAAAACCAAATAAAAAAAATCATCAATTTTTCCTAAAAATGCAACCGAATTATCCTAACATTGCACTGATTTTTTACCAAATAAATTGAATTGAAAATAATCCTAATATTGAAATAATTTGTTAAATGTTTGTGTAACTGTCTCTTTCTTAAGGAAAATGATATAAACTTAACAAAAAAATGATATGAATGTACCAAAACCTCGGTAAAACATGGTTAAGAAAAAACATAAGAATCCAAAAAAATCGGTGCATTAAAATTTGGAAAAGTTGCACACAATTTTTCCTAAATAATTGGATAAGATGACTTTAAATATCAAAGATGAACCAATTTTGTTACCAAAAAATGTGGACTCAACTTTGAATGTACATCCTGTCCAAATATCTGTTTTATTTTAAAATGAACATTGCACGTGGATTTATCCAATTTACACATTTTTTTGAAAGAAAAAAACAATCAATAAGATTGGAAGAATTAGTTAAAAATTATGCAACTATTTGTTTCCTAAATTTGTATCCAATTTGCACGATTTTTAAATTAATTTGTATTTAGAGTTAATTTCATAAATAGTTGACACATTTTTTTGCATAAGAATCTCCAATTTTATTACCAAAAAATATATGATTTTAATTCTGGAAAAAAAAAATAAAATATGATACGAAAAAAATGGGATTCTAATTTTGCCATAAGAATCTCAAAATTTGTTACCAAAAAAATAGGATTCAGATTTTGATAGTAAAGATTTATATGTGTTTTTTCAAACTTTCCATTAATAGTAAGTCAAACATTATATTTATTTGGTCAAACTTTCTATTAATGTATTTTTCCAACCACCTTTTTATATAGACTAGTAATCACCCGTGCGATGCACGGGGATATTATGACTTGTGAGCTTTTTATAATTATTTTTTTGTATATAAATTGTGTAATAACAAAATGATGATCATAAGAATAGACATATAAACATATAATTAAACTGAAAAGATCATATATTATTGAACACTTCCCTATATACAACATTATTGGTTTGATTCTTTGGCACGTCATCTTCGCCACAAATCAATATTTTCAAACGCTTTCGGTTAGTGACACGGGAGACAGCAACATATAACTGGCCATGACTGAACACCGATTTCTTAAGAAATAAGCCAACATGGGATAAAGATTGTCTCTGACTCTTGTTATAGTCATGGCGTAAGAAACCATAATGGGAAACTGCCGCTGCTGGAACATGAAAGGAATTCTAACATCAGAAGGAGTTATGGACATTTTGGAATCAACACCGTATCACCAGCATGATCTCCTGTGAGTATTTTACACTGAAGAACATGAGTGGATAGTTTTGTCACAACCAATCGTGTCCCATTACACAAACCCATAGAATGGTCCATGTTACGCAACAACATAGCTGGAGTTCCAATCTTCAAATACAACTCATGGTTCGGTATTCCAGAACACTTGATACTGTTCAAAAACTCAGGCGTATGGAGATCAGACAAAAAATCATTATTAGAATCCGATTTGCACGTACTATCAGAGCTCAAGTACATACGACCATCCAACAAATTCAATGATGTCATGTACTCATTGATAGACTCGACCACATCCAACGTCGGCGCTAATATAGCCCTATCCATCAAATAACTTGGATCGTCAGGCGCTTAC